CCCCAAAACCCCAAAACCCCAAAACCCCAAAACCCCATTTTTCATCGACAAAATTGAAGAAATTCTTACAAAATTTACCTGCAATTTAAGCTCTAGCTGGCCTCTTCAGAGGAGAAGTTAGGAGGTTGTAGAAGAAATACTGCTGCTTCTTGAATAGGAGGACTAGAAACATCATGAATCAGAAGACTCCAATCCAAAGATGGAATAATAGCTTAGTATCAGACGCAGGATTTTGGTGTAGATAGTGCTCATCACTCTGATGATTCATATTCACTCGAGATTCTATTGGTCTTAACTCAAAAGGTATTCTAGAATTGCTACACGTAGTTCATAATTCAGAAGAATCTGCAAAGTAATATTCTGAAACTGAATATCCTGTCAGACACATCACCATGCACATCACTATAGTCAACGAAAGCATGAGCCCCTTCTGAAGTAAGTCTCCGAAGCCTCCTTCTTCTTGGTTAAAAATGGAATCATTATTGTTCCTTACCAGCTTAAGCATAGTTTCTTCAGGGGAGGCATTGTTCTCATGAAAAGATAAAGAATCGTTCATTTCAGGCTCTTCAAACTCAAATTCTGATTCGTTCTTTACTTCTCCAGGAGAATCTGTTGAAATGGCATTAGAACTACTCTCTTTTATGATCTCTTCCTCTTCGCCAGTCTTAACACGCTTCATACCTCCAAAAGAGGTAATAATGGTCAGTAGATTCTTGACTTGATCTTGTAACTGTCTCTTCTCCGCTTTTAAGACCATGTTCTCCTGCTCCATTTGATTTGACCGTGCTTGGATTTTCTGGAGCCTTGATTCAACAGTCTCCATTTTACTAGCTCTCTTATCCCGAGCACGTAGGGCTGATTCCCTATTCTGTTGTCTCTTCCTAGCTTTCTTATATCCCTCCGGATCCTTATCATATTCAAAAGTTCCATATTGATCGACAATAACTTGGTTATTTATACTGCTCTTGCTTCTTTCTTCTCTTCTCAGAGGATGGGTAATTAGACGTAGTCTCTCCTGAGGCACTACTCTCGCTCTTCTGCTGCGCTTTGAGGACTCTTTTTCTGCCTCTTTTGGCACTTTTTCTAGAACTTTCTTCTGAATTAGCGCTTTTGCGCTTTTCCCTGATAACATCTGTTTTTATAACTATTGCAGTTTCACTCAGTTTGTGACGGATTTTGGTTGCACAAAGGCTTCCTTGTTCATTGCTATAGGGTCATTTTCGTACTGGATTTTATATGGATTTTAATTAGATAAGTCAAATGGGAGTCGGGTTTTTAGAAAAACAAACAATTATTCATGAATTTTGATAAAAGTGGAATGTCGTGGATGGCAAGAGAATTAATAGAGGAAAGTGGACTTACTCAGCCATTTCTATATCTTTGGAACTTTTTGGGAAATAATTATTTAATTAAACCAGATTTTTTAGGGGTTTTGGGGTTTTGGGGTTTTGGGGTTTTGGGG